GTGGTGGTGGTGGTGGTGGCAGCAGCGGCGGAGACGGTGGTGGTGGTGCCAGCGGTGGTGGTGGAGGCAGCGGCGGAGGTGGAGGCGGCGGAGGTGGAGGCAGTGGAGGCGGCAGCGGCGGAGGCAGTAGTGGTGGAGGAGGTGGAGCTGGTCGGGGGGTCCCCAGCAGCGTAGCGGCGGTGGTGGTGGCCAGCGCTCGCACCGGCAGCCAGCAGCAGCGCTCAAGGGACATCCCTTCGCCTCAGCAGCTTCGTGAGTGGTACGCTGGGCGTCAGAGGGGTGGGGGTACTGGTCCCTGCACCTACGTTCTTCGTTCCGGCGACCGCGCGGGGAGCAGTGTGGGGGTGCCCACGCCACCCAGCGCTTGCTTTGGCCGCCTGACGGACGCTTGGCGTCAGCAGTTCCCTGGGGCTAGTGAGATCCCTCGCTGGGATGAGCTTCTCAGGGCTGGTGTAGCGATCTTTGATCTTGATTTTGATGCTATCCTTACTGCTATGTATGTTGTGGATTCTAGTGAGGAGAATGAGGGTTACCGGTGTTTCCAGCCCGACCCGGGCATTGGTACTGCTGCGCTAGGTACTTGTGAGGCTGCTGCTCTAGGTGCCAGTGCGTCTGCGCTCTCCCAGGTACTGGTGAGACTGCGTCTCAGGTACTGAGTCGTCCTCGTCCTCCCTCACTTTCACACTTGACTCCGGAGCTTCTCGCTCTTTCTTTCGAGATCGCACTACCCTTTCGCCGCTCGCCAGGCCGGTTGCGGTCTCCCTTGCTGACCAGAAGGCTGTTGTCCGCATACTTCACGTCCTCCACCACATTAATCAGCCTATTGTAGTAGGTCAGCAACGACTCCGCCCGTCCCCTCCTGAATTCTTGGAACTCCCTTATGCGCTCCGCCGTGTGCCCTGGGAATTGCCGCTGTAGCGCTCCAGGAATGCCTCGGTGGGATCTTCCTCATACTTCCCTGCCCTCCATAGCAGTTCCTCCATCCGCATACGGTACAGCGTCTCGGCCTCTCCCTCTAGTGTGTTCGATAAACTCAGGAAAAAGTCTACGGGGTCCACATTGTGTCTGTCGTAGCGGTAGCGCACATTTCCCACCTGCATCAGGTAATTCTTGAGGGTCGGCCCTGCACGTTGATCTCCTGAGAACCTGGCGGGCACTTCTACCTGAGGCGCGCTGGCAGCACCCCCTCGCCCCCTCTCCCCACGATTCGCTAGCCCCTCCCGGCCGATTGCTCTCCGCTCTTCCCTCCCTTGCCCTCTGCATGCCTTCACTAGCCTCCCGTACCTGTTCCGCACCGTACATCAAGCTCCCGCCCTCCTACCAATTCCATTCCGTCTCGCGACGCCTTTCCCTCGGCCCTCCCACTCCTCTGCCCGAGCCCACTGCCGCGTTGGCAGGTCGTGCATTCTCTGCCCTTCCCCTTTGCTCGTCTCGCGGTGCCGCCGTCTCTCTGGCGACGGTGACCAGATGCCTCCCCTTCTGGTGCGCTGCTGGCGGCGCTCAGGCAAATGCACTTCTCCTTCCTCTTTCTCCCCCCGCTGGCGGCGTTCGTCTGGCGAGCGGGACCCGCTGCGGTTCCTCTTCTCTCCCTGCCTTGACCGATCCGGTGCGCACATCGCGCTGCTGCGCTCCCATTGCTGCCGACCGCGCCGCTCCTGCAACCAAAGCTCCGTCCCGTCTCTCCTTCCCTAATGCCCGTGCGGCTCAGGAGAGCGTGGCTCATCCTTCCATCTGCCCCCGCGTGCCTGCTGCCGCTCCAGTGAACGCACGACGCCGCCGCTCCAACCTCCCTGCTCTCCTCGCCTGTCATCCGATCTGAAGTCCCCCCCGCGCCAATCTCCGCAATACTGACCCATTTTTGGTGTACGCGACCGCTCCGCCTTTCCTTTGCCACGCTGTCTCTGCATCCGTGCATTGCGCCCACTCTCGTCCTGGGCCACTCGCTCCTGCCGAAGCGAGCCCTCGGCGCGCTGCTCGTCCCCACGGTTGGCGTTTCGCCTATGAGATTCCTCCGCCTGGCTCGCGCCAGCGTTCTCGTCCGCTTGAGCGGGTTCAGCCACATCAATTCCCACTGCCTGGTCCTCGCCGCCATCTCCCGCATCAGTGCCCTCGACCTGCAGCCCTGGGTATTTCTCGTCCGCTTCCGCGCCCTACTCCCCGTTCACTTCCTGTGCCACGCTCTCCTGCGCGCTCTCCATGCAATCACCGCCACACATGTCTCTTCCTCGTCCCCGGGGAAATTCCTTGAGGCCTTGCCAACAGCCGCGGTCGTCACGGCGCCGTCTTTGCCCCTCCGGATAGCGGAACCTTCCTTCATCGCGGCGGGTTTCTCTTTCATGGC